TATACACATTATTTTTCGGAAACATGTTCCAATAAAGATATCTTGTAAACACACACGCACACACACACGCACACAACATAGGTATATATGGGGTTATATATGTGTGTGTAGTGCATACATACAATGCTCACATACAATGTTGAATGGGTAAAGTGTCAAAAAAATAATTAGATGCATTGAAGTTCCGCATCAGTTTTAATGAACGATGACTGATATCGCTGGGAAATGTTATTGCATGTTGCATTTATATTTTGTATGGCAATGTTCCTGTATGATATAATTTATTTATTTGTCTATATAAGAGGCAAGACATTTAAAATGTAAATAGAAAAGATTTTCATTCAGGATGATTGCCTGGCTGAACACTTCCGTTATGGAAGCATTGAAACATTGCACACAGAAAAATCTTTTTCCTCAGTGACATGTTACAGACTTTTTTATTCCTCTTTTAACAATTATTTCTAAACTAATTTTATTTAAAATTCTAAAAAAATAGTGCGGTACGGAAATGCATCTTCCCACCAGACCATGAAAAATGGAAATATTTAAAACCCTGTAACGAAGTAGTAGTAGTAACAAAGTAGAGGAAAATTGGAAATTGGCAAAAAAAAATCATGAAAAGGTTAATAACTTTAAAAATCCTTCTCCCCTCCAATAGAAGCAAAATATATGGATCCTTCTCCCTTAAAATTCTTCTCCCGGCTCTATAGAAGCTGAAATAAATGGAAATTGCGTAAGTTAACAGCTTTAGAATTTTAAAACCATCAACACTCCCCCGCAAAAAATTCTGGATCTGCCGCTGGCAAATAATTACCTCAGAACAAAACTTCATGAAACTTTATCCATGAAACCATGATATTTTAAAAAATATTTTCAATTTTTTTTTTCAAAATTAAATTTTTTTAATTAAAAACGACGGCACGGATGCCTACAAAATCGCTGAAGTATAAAATAACAAAAAATGTTTTTGTTTATTTTTCATATGACAATTTTAACATCCATTTAATTTTATTTTATTTACATAATGCATGGCATTTGTCAGAAAGAAGAGCATTATAGAAACGTTTTTTCAAGAAATTGAAAATTTATTTTCAGCCCACGGCTCCTTATTATCGTTAAAAAAACGACAATCACAGTATTACTGTTTACTTTTTTATATATGTATTTATCATTCATTAAAAAGTCAGAATCTGACAGACGCTAAAACAGTAAACTTTAGTGAAAACACTTTGGTTCTTTTTATTTGTTGTGTTAAGAATAGAGGCCTACATGGAAAATTTCCCGCAAATTTTCCCGTAAATACCCACTGGAAAACTGCGAGTTGAGAACAGAAGTTGGAGGGAAACTCGCGGGGCGGGAATGAAAAGCGAGGGGAAACCGCGGGGCGGATATTTTTCGTGCGGAAAGTACCGCGGGACGGGAAAAATTTTAGAGGGAAAACCGCAGTTGATTTGACTTTGATGGCGAAGTTCCAAAAATGTTGAAACTTAATGAGAAACTTCATAGCTTGAACAGCGACGCAATTGAAAAAGTTAGATTATTATTAAGTTTAAAGCAAAGCAAGCTCACTGATGAATATGCATTACGCTAAATAATATTCATTGTGATGACACGAAAGGACACGTGACCAATTATATTAAGTGTTATGTGCAGGGCACATCACTATTTCTCCTATATGTTTTTGGGCGATAATTAATGTACAATGTGACTTTTACTGTGATGTGCTTTTTAATTCGTTCAATTCGTTTGGTTATAGAACGTTATATTTATTTTACGTAATAAATTAGTATACGTACATTACGCTTATTGTTTTCTATTTAGTTTGTGTTTCAACTCTTCAAAACACAACATTAAGTATGCAGCTTGAATACAGAATCTGTCTTTATCAGCTGTTTACAGTTTACACAGATAAATACGTGATCAGCGAGTTCTATTTTTATTTTGTTTTTTTTTATTTCGACGACAACCTAGTGTTAGCAGTTTGGTAAATATGGACAAATCGGCAGTCAAGAAAGTTAATATCTTCCGAAAGTCAGCGAATAACGTATTTATTTTCTCAACAGTCAAGGACTGTCAAGTCAAACAATTTACTAAAACACTAACATTATAATTTTTCTTTGTTTTTATAATAAAAATTGTACATAGAATGTACTACATAATACTCTGACTATGGATACTTTATTGTCTTTGTTAATAATGATATAATTATTGGGGGAATGAGTGCGGGAAAATGAGGATTTGTGAGGGAATGAGTGCGGTTGAGGAAAGACTTTTGAGGGAATGGGTGCGGGTGAGGGAAGACTTTTGAGGGAATGAGTGCGGGTGACGTAAAAATCATTTTCAGGAGGAGCAGGTGAGGGAATAGAATGTGTTCCCGCGTAGACCTCTAGTTAAGAATGACACGATGAAAAACAATAATCGTTACGAGATTCAAAACTTTCCATTGGGAGTTGACGATCCAACTGGAAGGATTTTATGCCGGGATATTGACCGGGATGTTAATTGGATAACTTTCACGTTAATTAAGACTGTTTTGGGAATTAATTAAAAAGTAATTAATTTATTAATAAATAACCAACCAGTGTACATTTTTAACTAATTTTGATTTTGATTTACATCTTAAATAATTAAATATCTTTTGGATAATTTTTTAATACTTACCATTTTATGAAAAAATTTACATAATTTTTCGTAAAAATATATTGTTATTAAAATAATTTCAAGTTGATTGTAATATAAAATCAGTTTTTAATTTTTCAATTTACCTTTTTAGCAAAATGATTGCTAATTCATTCAAAATGTCAACATCTGGTTTACAGTTTTATAAATAATCTGTTTGTTAGATACTTACATTTTGTTTGAATTCTACAAGATTTATTTACTGTTTTTTACATAGCTTTCCAAATATTTATCAAACTAATTTGTTTCGAGTTTGTACAATTTAACAAGCGAACTTTTCATCCTTCCATTTATTGATCATCTGCCAAACTGAACTGCTTACCGTCTGTTATTTAACGTTTAACATAGATGCTTTCAACTTTGCCTTCATATTTATACAGAACAATTTTTAGTTATTATTATTTTAATGATTCTAATTTTTCAAAACCATCTTCTTTTGAAGACGAAAAAACAAACTCAATTTACGTAAAATTGTGTGTAGTTTAAAAATGACTGGTAATATGTTTCAGCTGAAAAAAAGTCAACAGCCAAATGTGGCCGGCATTTATAGCACGAGGGTCATTATCTGGTGTAATATACTCACCAAGCTGTAGACATATTGTAATTAATATGCTACAATTTCATTACAACAAAAAGATACTTGTACAAATATTTTATTGATTATACAATTTAGAAACTAATTTGTTGTCAAATTTGTTATATTGAAAAGGATAGTGTAGGAAAGTTAATCAGCTGTTCCCATGTCTCCCATTTTATACATTATTTTGCTACCTGTTAGCATTCCGCAGGCATTCATTTTTATTTAAAGTGCCGATGAAATAAAGTTATTTGCATACAGTTGTTTCCCAATCTATACTTTTTCTTTTTTCTGTGTTGCTGTTACTGAGAGTTTTGTAAATATTGAGATTTGGAAACTGAAAAATTGAAAATTCTGCATTGCTTTGTTGTCGTAAGAGCAGTTATTTTTAAACGTAATCTATATTTTTAGTTTCAATACAAAAATATTTTCATTTGTTTGCGCTTTGATGAAAATCTTCTACTTCTTTCATCAAAGTCATAAATAATTCTTTTGTTTCTTTAATTCTCCAATCAGCACTACGCACCGACTGCATTCATGAAAAAAAATTTTTGCTTTTGGCTAATTATTACCTCGGAAAATATTTTGATTTACATAAAAATGAAAAAACGATGAAACTTGCACGAGATATTTTCTGCTAAATGAAAATTACTCCCACCTTCCTTACTGGTGAAATATTGGTAACACCATGCTTTGATTGGTTATGAGATTGTAAAATGCAAATTTAAATTTAATTTTGTTTGAATTTCAAATCATTTTCTCCGGCAACATAAATTTAAAAATTTATTAGTTCATAGATATAGTAACTTTTCTGATCGATCAATATTTAATTATTTTATACTTCAAAGATTGTGACCACACATTTCATGAAATGATTGAAAAGATCGCGACAAATAAAATGTGAACTAGCTAACCATTGTGCTGGCTGAATGATTGAGGTGTGACGTCATGTTGAAGACGTGATGCTGACGTCATTATGAAGCTCATTTGCGAAAGGAGGATTATGCAGGCTGGCAACAGTGATATCGAAAGTGGCAGTGATAAAAATAATTCTGACGAAAATGCAGATGGTGAAGACGTTGACGACAATGACGAAGATGATACGTGAGGCATTTTCATCTCTTTTGGTGGATTAATTTTATAAAATTATATTTTTTAGTGAGTTTGGAAAAAATGCCGTCAAAACTTTTTAATGTTTATCCATATTTTAAATTTTAGCACGTCTTGAATTGCTGTGACGTCAACATTATTTTAATTTTAACTTATTAACAGATTAATAACATTTAGGCGATTAGGCCATAAAAATGTTCAGAAATAACTTTTACGCATTTCAAATACAACACCCTTCAGACAAAATTATCTTCAATCACATTTTTATAAAAAAAAAACATTAAATAAAATAACTATTTAAAAAGATGATTCACCACATCTTGATGATTGTATGTTTTTTATTCACAGGAACTGACATACAACGGACTATCATATAAACGCTGTGGTCTTACATTCTCTAACATCATGAAGTATCGCATTTATGAACACACATTGTAATCTTTCATTAACATTCGCATGGATATAGCCATATATATATATATATATATATATATATATATATATATATATATATATATATACATATATATATATATAATACAATTAGTATACAAAACATGTATCATAATCAATAAATGATGACTTAATATAGAGACATGTGTGCATGGTCATTCATTATGGTCCATTCAAGAACATATGTATGTATGTATATAAATATATTTATATATATATATATATGTGTGTGTGTGTGTGTGTATGTGTGTACGTGTATATATATAATATATAGTATACAAATAGTATTACTGCATTTTCAACTTTGATCAGTTTCTTGTTCAGTTTCCCAACATTTCGTATCGTATTTCCATCACTGTTTTTGAACTTATTTGTATAGAAAACAATGTTTTTAACAACTCTTTTATTCATTTTTATTTTAAACTGAGAGAAACTTTTTTTTGGTAATTTTTTACCATTTTCATTCTGGTCCTGTTATAGAAATAATTTTTCATTTTTTGGTTTTCACGTTTTTTTTTAATCGAATTTTCTTCACTTGAAAACCTTTCTAAAATTGCTATACCAGAAAAAAAATGTGAATGTTTCCTACTATTTTATGTAATAATAGTAAAAATTTTTGTAAAGTTAGTGTCTTTTTTGGTTTAGTAAATATTCAAAAATCGTTTGGAAATGTTGTAATTTTTTGTTTTTTGCTCTCTGCTGTATGGTCACCGTGGCAAATTGGTTTGATTGGAAAAATTGAGGGAGTTCAGCAAAGAGTTACTAAATTTTTGTATGAATGTCGTGGTATGAAATACAATGAAAGACGGAAGTTTTTTAAATAATCCACACTAAAGTTTCGTAGAATCAGGGGAGACTCGATTACTTTGTTCAATATTTTGAATGATAACTTAAATACTTAATTAATTAATGTTGATACGCGTCTATAATCTGACAGGAATGTTATCAGATCTAAAATTATGTACAGATTCGATAAAAAGTTTGAAGGAAATAAGGTTAGAACAAACATGAGTAAATAAGCATTTGTTAACAGAACTATACTCATATGAAATTCTTTACCACAAAAAATTGTCAATGCAAAACTCGTAAATCAATTTAAAGTTCTGTTTGAAAAGTTCACTATTGGGCTTGAGATGAAGAACCAATGCCGTGCAAATTATCCAGTTTGATTGATATTTGGATTGGCATGTAAGTATGAGTGTTGATATGCTTGAGACGTGTGAGTGTGTGCCTGTGTATAACTTTTATTAATTTTTGAAAAATTTATGCTTTCATTTAATTAACCAATTTTGGAAATTTGGGCTTATGGGTAGTACACCTGGGGTCATTAAATTTTTTTCTGTTTTGTTTTGTTATGTTATGCTGATGTTAAATTATGCAAACAGCTAAATGAAATAAAATGAAATGAAAACAGATTTTTTTCTATGTGTGGAAGTGCAACGAAGCCAGAGAAGTTCGATTGTAAGCATGATAAGATTGTTCGTTGATGATATGACAGGCAACTTGATTCAATTCTTGTATTGTTTCCATGTCTAACGTTTTTTTCAAAGTTTGGCAGCCAGCAGCCATTCAGGTTTCTGACAACAATCAGCCAACATGTTTTTATTGTGTCATATCAGACTCATTATATTTAATTCATTTGAAGTTGTATGGTTTTTAAATGGTGTAAGTTTAAGAGTTGAGTAAATAAACTTCCTACACTTCTTTATGATACATTTAAGTTTTATGGATCATCATTTTATTATAAAAGTTTTTTAGAAGCAAATTCATGTTTCATTTTGATTAAGCCAGATTATTACTTTTAAAACGTTGGTAAAAAGCCAGGCATTTATTCACAGTATTCATAACAATTTTTGTGTTATATGCAATGAAATATATTTTATGCGCGATATTCAATTGTTATACCCTTTTATTATATTTCCTGATGTTTGTATGTGTGTGCTTGTGTGTGTGTCTGTGAGTACATGTGTGTTTGTGTGGTGTGTGTTTGTGTGTGTTTGTGTGTGTGTGCGTGCGTGCGAGTGTGCTTTCACATACAGTTATTTTCCTACAAATGATTTGTCAGTCAATTTTCAATTAAGTATTTTTTTGTATTTTCACTCGTGATTTCCTTTTAATTTCTAAAATTTATTAAAATGTTGAGAGTTTATGAAAATTTAATAAGTGTCATTGACATCCTTGCATTTGTTAAAATATGAGTTTTATAAACTTATTTCAATTAAAATGCTTTATTGTATTTAATCTAAAAACATTTCACTATAGGGAAATACAATTTTTTCGACAATATTTACTTAGGAAAGATTTCGACAAAGGAAATTTTCAGATAAATTAAACCACTGGTTCAGTTTCAGTCACGATATAACGCAAACTGTCACATTCAACGTAAATAATTAGTGACACAAAAAGTAAGATATTCAAATGAGAAACAGACCGGACACCGAACAATTCCTTTTCTTCGAATAAATATACAAAGAAAAATATTTTAAATAAAGTTTCCCTCGTACATATGTACTTGACAAATTGTAATAAACATCTCGTATATGATTTCGTATATATATGGTTATATTTAAATGGCCAATTTTATAAATGTATTGAGAATATAACGGAAATATTAATTCCATATTCACTCAGGACTGGATTGGTCTCACGGGAGTAAAATTTCCAGAAGCCACAAAAGTGGTGATTCCAAGTTATTCAGTAGAAGCTCCTATCTCTTTAGTAGATGTTCCTTATAATATAATGGTTTTCAAATGAAATCTAGCAATCTTTTTTAGATTTATCTACATTTGTTTCATTAAAACCAGTGTTTTTAACAATGGAATATAAGCTAATATTACAATAGTATATTTTCTTTCTTGTGGAGGTCCATATCTGTGCGTGTCTTACTTGTAACGTTTTGTTTCATTGAGATTGTTTCATTACAGGGTTACTTCAATTGATTTGATACATGCAGAACAACTACTGTTGATATTTTAGACAATTAAATGTATAGGATTTAAAAAAAGTATTAATCGATTTAAAAGTCTTAGCCGATATAGTTGCGATGGAAAAGATGTTTTGATGTGATGTAACGACATGATGTGATTCAGGTAGATGAACCAAACATATTACTTGGCCATCTTTCGACAATTTTGATTTATATTTAAATTTTTAACCTCTCTGATTTATCTTTGATCATTAATTCCAAGTTAAATGTTTGTATTCCATCAACCAATTGATAGCAGATGTGCTATGTTCACATTTCATACATATATAAACCTGGAATCAGAACCAAATGAAAAAGTTGGCAAATTCACGAATATGACAATGTGATTACGTGCGTTTGATTGTATGGGTTTTGTGTATTAAAGGTTAAAAGTTACTCTCTTTCTCTTTTGTGCTTGCTTCAGAGGTGAGTGCTTATAAGGTAGAAAGTTGATTAAATAGAAAAAATCTTTCTTGTAAAAAAAATAATGAGTCACACGAAAATATATTGAAAACTCTGCAATGCATTAATGACACTAACATTATGGATTTGCGTAGTATAATAAATTAATCACACGACACCTTAAACATATTAACACCCATTAAACCTTTTTCATTTGTTCAGTTTGTCTATTCTTTTTCCTTAACGAACTCTTAACTTACATTTCAAGTCCTAAACAAGTCTCTTAATTAATTAATTCAATTTACTCGTTTTTTTAAATCGTTGTTTTATTCACCTAGCTTACTATGCTTAAACATTCTCACTCCTTGAACACTCCCTACCGCTGTCCATCTCATAACTTAATAAGTCATTAATTAGTCACATAATTAATTATTTTATTCATTCGTTTTATAAATCATTATTGCTTCTCATGCTTAAAATATTTTTACTCCGTTAATTATTTTTCGTTATCATTCTACACCATTGCCTTCTATGTTGTAACAGTTTTTGCGTCTGTCAGATTTTGAGTTCTTAAAGAATAATAAAAAAAACCACTTACATTACATTGTTGAAACATCATGAATAACAAATTGAAATGAAGTATTTTATTTATTGCATTTAGATTCAGTGTGCATTTAAGAATACAAGTTGGAGCGAAATTTCGGAAAGAGTAATTATTTTTTATCTGCATGTTTCTTCAAGGCATTCATGTGGGCTCGTGATAAGATGCAATGATTGATGCGACCATTCCACACAACTTCAAATAAATTTTATGCTCATTTTCTTCAGCGGTTTGCGGAGTTTTCCAACATAGATGGAAGAGTTTAAAATATTGAAACCTTCAACGATGATTCTCATCTTGTCATTTCTTCCTCATCATTCCTCATCACTCACGCTTCACTTATCTTCCGATCGTAAAACTATTTACTTTTTATTTACTGCTCCCAAATTGGAAGCAACATTTTTAGCAGTACTTATAATTCAAACAACGAATTTAAAAAATGTCACACCATTTCCATCAAAATATAAAAAAAACAAATATTTGAATTTTGTATTGAATTAAAATAAAGAGAGTTTAATAAATTTCGTACATTTTAATTGTTTTACATCAATTATTACGGAAGCAACTTTATGTAAATGAAATCATACTTTGCGTTCGTGCGGAGGAATAAAAAAGGACGAAGTACATTTCATCCTACCTACCTACACGTCAACATGAAATATTCAGTGCGGCCTCTTTTCTTATGAATCTTCCAACTTAAGAGTTAAAAAAATTTCATTCATTAGTTGCGTTTCTGTTGACATTCAGCTTAAAAAATTAAATCCAAACCATTTAAATTTTAAAGCAAGTTTAAACTGAATGATTGTAGTGCTTTTAACGATGGATGCGTATTTGAGGGAGACTTTTAAAAGCACAAAATGACTGCAAGAGACATTTTTATATTTAGTTTTAATCCGACGTTATAGACTAAAGAAATGGTTAAAAATGAGAAAAATTTTAACAACTTAGTATGATAAAGGAGAAATGATGATGCGAAAGAGACATTCATCTTGGAATGCGAGGAATTGGCTGGAGAGTTGAAAGTGGATGAGATGTAGGCATGCCTCCCCTAGCAATCAACTCCATCCAATGCTGTTCCTCCTCCAAAGCTCTTCGTCCTCACTCAGTCATCACATGAATTATTTAATAAGGACCGCCTAAATATGAATATCCCGTGAAGATTAGGTCGTATGAAAATGAATTAGCACGTGAAACACGAAATGACCCATTTATGCCAACGATGAATTGCTGAAATGAATGTCTATTTGGAAACTTATATTTATTAAAATAATGAATAACATAATAAGCTATGAACAATATAAATAATAATACTAATG